GAAGAAGAAGAAGAAGAAGAAAGAAAGAAAGAAAGAAAGAAAGAAAGAAAGAAAGAAAGAAAGAAAGAAAGAAAGAAAGAAAGAAAGAAACCTAGGAGTTGGCTGACCTCAAAAATTAACTCAAAATATCACAAAACTAAATATAAGAGTTTAAAAAGTAAAAACTTTTTGAAGACAATAAGGCAGTTCATCTTAGGGACCTTCCGCGAGTTAGGCAATCTTTTTGTTGTGATCCATGTCCAAAGGTCCTCCCAGAGCCCCATGTTGCCTTAGGGTTTTCTGGGAGGTGGCTGAATCTGAAGGGTGTGATTGATTCATAGAGCAATGCTGGGAGGGGCGTGCTGGGGAGGGGCGTGCTGGGGAGGGGCGAGCTGGGAGGGGCGAGCTGGGAGGGGCGTGCCGGGAGGGGCGTGCCGGGAGGGGCGGGCCGGGAGGGGCGGGCCGGGAGGGTGGGCGGATGCTGGATCAGTCCACTGACTGGGTTGGCACCACGACGATCCTGCTAGACTGGATACAATACAAGGGACAGAAAGGCTTGCCAGCTCTCTCTCGTCGCTCTTGCTGTCTTCTGTGGCCATGAACTGCTGCCCTCTGCCACGTGCCCCCTGCCTTGGAGCCAGCCGTGTCTGGATCAAGACCTCTACAAACTGTGAACGAACCACACCTTTCCTCCTTTATCTTTGTGCGCTGGGTGTGTGTCTCGGCAACAAGAAAAGTAACTAAGACGTCCTTCTTACATGATGCCTCGACCCGAAAGCCCAACAAAGAATAAATTGCAAGTAAAAAGTTGCTAAGTGACACGTCTTGTGTACCACCACACTGGTACGCAGAACGTCCAAGAGCAGTTCACTCAGCAGCTGTTAGAGGACAGCAAGAAGGTTAACCCAAGGCTACCAAGGCGAGAAACAGGAAGACAGCAGATAAAGGACACGAATTTTGTTGGCAGAAATAACAATGGAAAACCTCCCAAGTTCGGGGAAAGGGTCCATCATTCAGGAAATGGTGCCTCAGGGGCAGCGACCAACCATGAGGAGGAAGAAGCTCCCCGAGACGAGACGCGTTCTGACTGAAATACCAGACAGCCAACAGAGCAGCAGCTCCCCAAGCTATGCAAGAAAAACAAAAATTCACATAGAGAGGTAGGCTCAGGGAACGACTGAAAGGTCCTGACCCGAGCATGACTTGCTGAATTGTTACGGTGGTCATCTAGCATGGCTGAAGCCCTGGAAACATCAGCTTGTCTTCCAGTGACCGCTTCCTTCTTCTTCCCCACTGCAGGCCTGGATCCCTTTCCTACACACGCTCAGTCAGCTCCCTATGCATAGTGGAGACTGCCCTCAAACTCCATAGCAACCCCGAGCAAAGGTCCATAAAAGTCTCCGCTTTCTTTGTCTCAGATCAGAGGATCCCCTACCCTATCTCACTCAGATCCTCTTCATGTCTTTAGAGGCAATAAAGGCTTTTAAAAAAAATCTTTCCTATCTCTTTACTGCACCATCAAAAAAAACCTAACAATTACAATAAGGCCAAAAGAGTTTGGAGTGAAAGCAAATAAATTCCTTATCAGATTAACATAGTCAACAAAACTTTCTTTCAAAACAAATGGAGAGGGGCCGGGAGATGGCTCAGAGAAATAAGCGCTTCCCTGGCAAGCGCAAGGGCCTGAGATCAATCCTCAGTTCTGCAAAAAAAAAAAAAAAAAAAAAAAAAAAAAGGAGAAATAAGGACATTCCATGAAAAAGAACAACTCAAGAGATTTACAAACACCCAACTAGGAGCTGGGGAGATAGTTCAGTGGACTAAGCACCCACCTGGCGAGCGCAAGGACGGAGGCTCAATCCCCAGTACCACATGCCATACCAGCCCCAGAACTCCAGGTACACCGTGCCAGCCCCAAAACCTGGCGTGGTGGTGCACACCTATAATCTCAGCACTGGGGAGGCTGAAAATAGGAGGATCACTATGAGTCTGATCTGTGTAGTGAGACCCTGTACTTAATACATAAACATAACTAACTAAATAAATAAATAAAATAAAAGCCAGAAATTGGCGAAGAGGTTCAGAAAGTCGAACCCAATAGTCTGCTGCATTCAAGAAACTCATCTAAACCAAAAAGATACTCATAGACTAAACACCAAGAGGTGGAAAACGGAATTCCATGTATCAGGATCTAGAAAACAAGAAACGGTTGCAATTTTACTCTCAAAGCAAACATTAAGCTAGAATTGATCAGAAGAGACAAAGAAGGTCATTAGGTACTAGTTAAGAGACTACTCCAACAGAAAACATAACACCTGCAAATACGTATGCACTGAGCGCTGGAGCAACCACCTTCATGGAACAAATACTGCTGGACCTAAAAGATCACACAAACACTAACACAGTTGCAGTGGGGGACCTCAGTACCCCACTTTCACAGAGATACACATCTGCTAAACCAAAAAGAACATTAAATAGCACCACTGAACCACATCTGTGAACAAATGCACTCAGTAGACACCAACAGGGCTCAGCTCCTACCCCGAAGTGCATGCTCTTCTCAGCAGCACACGGAACCACCTTCAAAGTAGACCACATATGAGCCCACACAGCCTACTTAAATAAATACACAAGAATTGAAATCACATCCTGTTTACGATCAGACCATTGTGCAATGAAGTAAATAACCAGAAAGGAAACCACAGAAAATTTAAAAGTAGCTGGACATTTAATACCACACTCCTGAACACCAAATGTGTCACAGAAGAAGCCAGGCAAACCGTCCAACCATGCTGGACAAGAGAGCACAACCAGCGAGCTACAATGACAGCATCGTAGTGGGAAGCTCGCTGCAGTCAGAGCTCAGACGGGAAAACCAGAGCAAGCTCGAATGCCGGAACCAACGGAGAACCTTGAGATACACAAACACAGCACCGATCCAAGCCTACACTGAAAGTAAGGACGGAAATCTCAACAGCAGAGTGAAGATAAAAGAAATCAAGACTTAAGGGCCAGCCAAACAACTCAGCAGATTAAAGCACCTGCTTAGGCAGATGCAGCGGCTGGAGTTTGATCCTGGCGTGCTGTGCCAGCCTCGCTTCCCGGGGCATGCTGAGAGGGCGATTGAGACTGGGTGTGGTGGCATGTGTCTATAGTCCCAGCGC